AATGGATACAAGTCCAGTAGGTGAATGGATACAAGTCCAGTAGGTGAATGGATACAAGTCCAGTAGGTGAATGGATTCAAGTCCAGTAAGTGAATGGATACAAGTCTAGTAGGTGAATGGATACAAGTCCAGTAGGTGAATGGATACAAGTCCCATAGTTGAATAGATACAAGTCCAGTAGGTGAATGGATACAAGTCCAGTAGGTGAATGGATACAAGTCCAGTAGGTGAATGGATACAAATCCAGTAGGTGAATGGATACAAGTCCAGTAGGTGAATGGATACAAGTCCAGTAGGTGAATGGATACAATTCCCATAGGTGAATACTTGGTCTTTGGAATTAAAGAGAATTACACCTGACACTCATAAGGAATGACAAAGAGAACTCCAGGACTGTTTCTCTGGGGTCAAGAGGATTCTAATAGATGAGTAAAACCATCTCTACATACAGACAAGGAGAATGAGGATGGCCATGTGAACTAGTGAGCAAGATGAGTGTGTGGAGAGCCTGTGGGTAAAAAAATACTAAGAGAAACCTTAGGTGTCAGAGGCAGGGAAGGGGGTCCAGACGCTGGCTAAAGTGACCTGATGTATTCTACTTTATTATTTTTGGGTTTTTTTTTTTTGGTTAGTATACAAGATAATGAATTTCTTATTCCATCTTTATACATGGACTTTGCTCATAATCACTCCCTACTACCCTCCCTATTTCTTGTTATCCCATCTCACTCCCCTTCCAAATAGACCCCTCTGTTTCCATGACATTAAAGATGACGGGTAGATGGGCAAGCAGACAGATGATCAATAGATAGATAGATAGATAGATAGATAGATAGATAGATAGATAGATAATTTGATAGATAGACTTAAATCTAAGTTCTACATATGACAAAGAACACAGGGAATTTTTTCTTTCTCTCCACCTCTATCATTAATTCTCTCTTGTATCCCGCCTTCCAGGAAGATTCTTGAATCTTAGGCTATATCAGGATATGTCTTAGTCTTCGAGAAGGAGTCTAATGGAATTTTGGTCTTGGCGAATTCCCAAACAGTAGCTAACAGAGTTTAGAATTTGATGCAAGTTCCCATTTCAGAAAGTCATCAGCTAGGAGGGTAGCTCAGTGGTACAAAGCTTGCCTACCATGCACAATGGCCCTGAATTTCATACCCAGCACCACTGAAAAAAGACATAAGGGAGAAAGGGAAGAAGGAAGGTTGGTTGGTTGATAGGTCGGTTGGTATTCATACAACAATGTATGACCATTACATATCCAGGACCTTTTACCAATCAGTAGAGGCATGCCTTTAGAAACAGGAATCATGTACCAACAAATACTTGCTGTTGTGATTCTCTTGTACAGTGTAAATGAAATAGCAGGCAGGAAAGAAAAATATTTCTATCATCATATAACCTTTAAGAGCTATTAGCATAAGGTTGTGACTGTAAGTTTTCCAAGGAACATAAAGCAGACTAGAGAATCGTAGAATGACTGGGAGGGAGCAGTTTAGTAGGATGAGTCTCTTAGGAAGTGACCTTCAAGCGGAGATTAATGTGGGTAAAGGCATAAGCAAGGTGAGGGCCTGGAAGAACAGCTTTTCATGCAGAGGGAGCATCGGGCGTGAAGAAGCTGAGCCAGAGGAGGAAGCTTGGCAGTGTGCATGGCTGTTGGAGGGAGAGCGTAGGAGCAGGGGTTGAGGGAGTGGGACCAGGGGTTGAGTTTGTGTTTTGAGGAAGGGTTTGAAGATGTCAGAGTCTGCCAGGTGAGTAGCATCCTGGTAGAGAATTTCTGTTGGGTCTCAAGTGTGCTGAAGCCAGGGGGCATTTTGTCAAGAGAACGATACAATCTGAACTATGTATGTGAAAGCCTTCTAAAATGTGGAAGGCAGACAGAGGAGACAGGAGAAACAATTTGGAGACTGTGGCATCGAACAGATGGGGAATGTCAGTGGCTGGAGATGGTGACAAGGTGAAATTGAAAACTTGCCTGTGCCTTGGTCATGTAATGGCTCTTGAGGCAGGAGCATGAATAAACGAGAGGCAGAGACCGATGGTTACAAGAAAAACCCTGGAAGAGAGTCATCTGGAAACAGCCATAAGAGTTCTATTTTAGATGCTCGGTGCTAGGTCCACTGATAACATGAGAGGGAAAATACCAGCCTATGTATGTCATCATCTAGAAGAAAATGACTGGGCACAATTACTGCACTACATGCTGCTGTGTTCAAATCATGGGAAGAGAAAATAGGAAGAACCGGTGTATTTCCTGGAGGAGCTCACAATCAATCAGAGAAGAGAGATAATGGCTGGAAGAGGAGGGACTTGCAGGGTTGTGTGACTATTATAATGTGGTAGAAGTACCTAGAAAAGTGTTGGAATTTCCTCTTGGATCCTGGGATGTGGGAATGAGGAGAATATCTGGATATAAAGAAGGACCAAGAAATGGCCAGTGGGTCAATAATTGTTAAAGTCATAGTCTTAGGGTTTCCAGAAAAAATATGACCAAGGCAACTCTTAGAAGGTCAACATTTAATTGGGGCTAGCTTAAAGGTTCAGAGGTTCAGTCCATTATCATCAAGGTGGGAAGCATGGCAGCATCCAGGCAGGCATGGTGCTGAAGTAGCTGAGAGTTCTATATTTTATTTCTAAGGAAATCAGGGAAAGACTCACTTCCAGACAGCTAGGAGGAGGGTCACAAAGCCCACCCTCACAGTGACACACTTCCTCCAACAAGGCCACACCTTTTAATAGTGCCACTCCCTGTGCCAAGCATACTCAAACCACCATGGCCCTATATGCACTGTTTATCACTCTCAACTCTCATGGTAAAGTAGGGTTCTTTTGTTCTTTTGTTGGATGTTGCATTTTGATTTTGTTGTTTTGCTTTGTTTTGTTAGATATTTTAGTTGTGTGTATGAGTATTTTCCCTGCAGCCTGTATGTCTGTGTACCACATGTGTGCCTGGTGCCTGAGGAGACAGTGAGCCTCCATGTGGGTGCTTGGAATCAAACCTGAGTCCTTTGCAAGACCAACACGTGCTCTTAACCACTGAGCCAACTTTCTAGCCCTGGTTTTGTAGGTTTTATGGAATATCAGCTCCCAAAGAATAAAAGCAGAGAAATGGATTGCCAGATCGCGCCAGAGTTTGAGGCTTGCAGAGAAAGCTCGGCAGAAGGGTTTCGGTCAAGGAGGGTTGGGTTGTTGCTAGGAGACTGGATGATGATGATCTGTGATGCTGGTACAGAGACTATCACCATGTGAGAGTGCCTTTGTTCTGGCCTGCTGCATAGCCAAGCCCTGTGTGTCATAGATCATTTAATAAATATGATGGCACTGGCAGGGGTTATTATTGTTGTGTAGCTAGAAGGTTGGAGCACAGATGGCATGTTAACGAAAGTGGGCCGATTCCCAAGGTCACACACCCAACTACGGCAGCCTGTGTTCGAAGAACAAACTAAGTTGGCATATGGAGGGAATCAGTAAAGGATTAGCCAGATGGAATGAGAGGAGTGGGGTTTACAAGAAGTGGAGTCTCCTGGAAGAAGTGTGTACCACTGGAGAAAGCCCAGAAGAGAGGTGATGGTTAGGAGTCTGAGGCCAAGACAGAATGGTATGTTAGAATTCAGAGTTTCAGAGACAGGCTGGCAGAATTCCAGGCGGTGAGGCTGCTGAGGTAATTCAGAACAGGGGTGAGATTCCCATGGAGAGATCTGAGAATGGGGAAAGACGTGCAAGAAAGCACCATTGGCTCAGTGAAAGCTTTTAGGATGGGAGCCATGTGGTACCCTAAGTGCCAATCACAGGCCACAGCATATCTCTGCAGCATCCATACCTGATGCCCTTACGTGCCTGGGTTTTTGCTTAAGTCATGTAGGCTTTCATTCATAAAAGCCTTCTCTCTCCTCACGCCTATGCCTTCCTAATCCAGAACTATGGTATTATTTTGTATTGATGTTTATTCTCCAGTAGAAAAAAAATCCATGACATCAGGGATTTTGTGGATTTAAGTTACAAATGTATGTCTAGTAAGCAAACAGGGCTTAGGATACAGCGAGGCCTCAGTCTATACTCTGTACATCAGTGAAGGGAGGAATTAATGAAATACATGCGGATCCATGAGGAGACTTGGTTATGAATTTCTGTTCCAATCAGAATTGGTTATGAGTCCACTCTCCCTGGGGCTCCTGCTGTCTTGGGGCTGCTTTCTCCTACAGTCTGCTTTTCTTGTGTATAGACTGGCCCATCTTTTCTAAAGTGTGTGCCTTCTGATTCCTGTGTCCAAACAGGACTTGGGTGCAAAGCCCTTGTAAGAATGAGTTGGCAGAGAAGGTTTGGTCATTGTCTTAGTCAGGGTTTCTATTCCTGCACAAAACATCATGACCAAGAAGCACGTTGGGGAGGAAAGGGTTTATTCAGCTTACACTTCCACATTGCTGTTCATCACCAAAGGAAGTCAGGACTGGAACTCAAGCAGGTCAGGAAGCAGGAGCTGATGCAGAGGCCATGGAGGGATGTTACTTACTGGCTTGCTTCTCCTGGCTTGCTCA